AGACTCACTCCCAACAAGGAGCCCTGGTTGGGAAAAGCATGGGCGTTAAGCCTCTTTGGGGTAGGTGGAGGAATTATTTCATGCAATGATAGAAAGAAATGGGCTCCATTACTCTTCTATTCTCACTTTTGTTCCTCACATGGGCTTGGCTTGACTCCATGGCCTGGGACTCTTCCTGGGATCCCAGCAGAGAGGTCAGATGATAAGCAATCCACCTGTTAGTTTGGCGCAACTAGGGCCGGCTTCCACAATGCGACTTCTGGTGCTTTGTTGTTCACGTGGTGAGCCTTATGTAAAGCAGGCTTCTGGCTACATAGCTACATTTGCACCCTGGTGGCCTCCGCTTGGAACCACACTCCCAGTCTGAAGACATCTGCTTGCCTTGCAGAGGCCCGTGTGAACTGTTCACTTCACCCTCTGCTGCTGGAAAGTTCAGCTTCCTGCCCCAATCTCTATGCCAACTGGGTAGTCATTCTCCTGTTGGTCACCTTCCTGCTGGTCACCAATGTGCTACTTATGAACCTGCTGATTGCCATGTTCAGGTACCATTCTTCTTTCCTGCCCACCTGCCCTCACTACATCCTGGCTCCCTTTTCTCAGTGGGGCTGGTTTCAGGGTGCTGGCAGATATAGGACCTGTGTCCTTAGTAGAAAAGACTAATCCCTTTGGCTGCTGTGTCCACTGGGCTGACCCTACAGTAGAGAGCCAACACCCCAGGTCTGGGCATGCTATGAGCCCACCCCAGCTCAATAGCTGCTGTCTATTCTGCTAGGTAGGAGAGTGAGTCTACAGGGCTGGGAGCTCAGGCCTGCAGTGAGCCCCACTGCAGTACACCTGAGTTGGTGGCTAAGGGGGCGGGACTAGACCCCTGTCTTAATCTCCTTTCTTTCCATTGCTGCAGTAAGAAAAAGCTGTCTGAAAGCAACGTAGGGGATGACACGGTTTATTTCATCTTACACTCCCAGGTCACAGTCCATCACAGAGGGAAATTGGGGCAGGAGCTCAAAGCAGGAAGGAACCACTGAGGAATGCTGTTGGCTATCTCACTCAGGCTCATGTTTAGCTAGATTTCTTGCACAGCCCAAACCCACTTGCACAGAGAACAGCGTGGTCCACAATGGGTTGGGCCCTCTTACATCAATTAATAGTCAATATAATCCCCCACGGACAAGCCCACGGGGCAATGTGATCTTGACAGTCCCTCAATTGTGTTTCTCAGCTGACTCTTAGACTGTCGAGTTAACAGTTAAAGCTAACTATGTTAGCCTCCATCTCTGAATTGGACTCCCAGGACAGGCCAGCTACCCCTGGATGCAATTGAGGATGGCATATAGGGAGTGAGAAGTGAAGGGTTGAGATGAAGGATAGGAAGTGGGATACAGGATGGGGTGGCATGTGGGATGGGAGGTGGTTCCAGGTTCAGGTAGGGCGCTTCTATGAGCAAGGAAAGCAGTTTACAAGGCAAGGGTTTGGCCATATTTCCTGTAGCTACACATTCCAAGTGGTCCAGGGAAATGCCGACATGTTCTGGAAGTTTCAGCGCTACCACCTCATTGTTGAATACCATGGGCGACCAGCCCTGGCCCCGCCCTTCATCCTGCTCAGCCACCTGAGTCTGGTACTCAAGAGGGTCTTCAGGAAGGAAGCCCAGCACAAGCGTCAACACTTGGGTGAGGCTACAGGCTAGATGCCACTGTTCCCAAGGGTCCCACTGCCAAAGAAGACTCACAGAAAGGACTGGGGTTTCTCATCTAGGCCCTGTCAAGGATAACCAAAGCCCCGGACCCATACTAGACAGCCACAGGGCCATTCTGTCTCCTTGCAGCCCCAAATACCTCCATGGGGCTTATTTTTGCCATCTGTCTTGTGCTCTGCCTGGTGGCACCTGCCATAGTCCCTTGCCACAGCCTGAGTCTGGGCTCTGCCCTATGGGCTCACACAACTCTCCAAGGCTTGCTGCTGTCTCCTACCTTGCCAGAGAGAGATTTGCCTGACCCTTTGGACCAGAAGATCATTACCTGGGAAGCGGTTCAGAAGGAGAACTTCCTGAGTGCCATGGAGAAACGGAGGAGGGACAGCGAGGGGGAGGTGCTAAGGAAAACAGCACACAGGTGGGGAAGCCCGTGGGACCCCAAATGGCAGGCATATGAGTCTCGGGCTAGCAGGTGCCATCATGTCTGTCCATGGGCTGCTCAGAGATGTAGAAAGGGCCATCTGGAGGCCGGTGAACTCAGATGCAGTGGGGCTGGGTTGACCTTGGTCAGCTGGATGTTATGAGGGGCAATAAGTCTGGGAGGAGCTCCAACATGCAAGCTTGTGGAGGTGGGGGAAATATCTAGCCTTTTCAGTAATGGCTGAACTGCCTTAAGGCTGAGTGAGACTCTTGAATGCCAGTAATAGGACCTCTGAGCTGAAGAAATGTGGCTGGGTCACAAGACCCAGCACTCCAGACTCTTGCTCTAGGGAGGTGTGTGTGTGTGTGTGTGTGTGTGTAGGGGGGTGTCATTGGGAGCATAAACCCCTAATTAGGCATCTTTCTGCAATGGAAATCTCCCTTTATCCTCTCAAATCAGAAGAGCCATCCCCCTTGATGCCGGGTGGTGAAGAGGCTGTTCCTGAACACTTATGGGGATGGCCTGCTGTTTCTTCTCTTGCTAGTGGTCTATTCCAAGCAGGGACAGGACCTCAATCTCTGGGGATGTGGCAGTACAGGAGTGTCCCATATCCATAGACAGGCCCCAGATCAAGCTTGGGAAGAGTAGAGCAAGAAGAGGCAACAGCAGACAAAGGCTCTGAGAAAGCAGTTTAGAGCAGGCAGGCTCCCCCTTGTGGAGCGCCATGGAGGTGTCACATTTGCAGCTGGCCCTGCTTTCCACAGAGTGGATGTGATTGCCAAATACATCGTGGGGCTGAGAGAACAAGAAAAAAGGATCAAGTGTCTGGAATCACAGGCAAGCCAACAACCCACTGTCCATTCTTCTTGAGGTGGGGCCATCCTTCTGCTTCTATGGGAACTACCACAGCCCTGTACTAGCATCCTGATGGGCCACATTAGGGCCTGGAGAGTGGAGGGATTATGGGCAGGGGATGCCTGTCCCTGCCCCAAGTCACTTTAGAGACCCACTTTTCTTCTAGAGCTGGTCCAACAAAACCTAGATTCACCACCACATCCTGCCACCATTCCTTGTCATGTACCATGGGGGGAGCCTGGTCCACAGTAAGGAGTCCTGGGACAGCAGTGGCCCTGGCAGGAGGGGAGTCACATGGGAGGGACCCCATGCCAAAGACCAGCACCTCCCTTGGCTCCTTCCAGGCCAACTACTGTATGCTCCTCCTGTCCTCCATGGCTGACACAGTGGCTCCAGCTGGCACCTACTCAAGTAAGTGCTGTTCAGGCCATGGGAATGAGGTAGGCATGGGCTCCTCCCTTAGGCCACTGGATTAGAGAAGAGCAAAGCTTTTGGCTGTGCATCAGGTCCTGCCTTTCCCACCTGTGCTGGAAGTTCCTGCTGTCCTTGGCAGGTCACCATGCCTGAGGCATACAGGTGCCTAGGGGCAGAGCCATTATGTCCCAAGGCTCTGACTAGCACTGGCATCACTTCCCTTGTTCTGGCCCTTGACTGTCTCCTGCTTTGTACTACCTGGGACTCCACAGCTAAAGGTCCTTTCTCCCTTCCTTGCTCCCAGGCTCTCAGAACTGTGGTCGCAGGAGTCAGCCAACCTCTGCTAGAGACAGGGAGTACCCACAGGCTGGCTTGCCACCCTCAGACACCTGACATGGAGGGACCATCTGTCCTAGAGCCCCAGGCTATGCCGTCTTGGGCTTTTGTGACACATCAACCTTCCCCTACTCCCAGCAACCTCCAGAAACGGTTTCTAGGCATTGCCACAAACCACTTCTTGGACATCCCTTCCTCTGAAAATGAAACACGTCTCTTGGCACTTATCTGGGAGCTCCAGCAGTGTCTTCACTAGTAGGGAAAGTCACGGGCTTGGACTGGACAGGATTTAGTGAAGTCCCACACAGGACACCATCTGCCTAGATTGAGCTACTTGGGTCCTACCCTTAGTTCCTAAGAAACTGACCTTTTACACACTAGTTATTTTGTTTTCTGCCCTCAAAAACACTCTTCTTCAGCTGACCAGCCTCTAGAGGACTGGTAACCATCAGTTCCCATTGTTCTACCCCCACAGCAGTATCTGTGTAACCTTTGTGGCAGTAACCTCAGATACTGTTCAAGGGCACCCAATGCTGCTATAAAGCCTTAGACCACCTTGATTCTGCTACACTGGACTGACCACAGGGATAGCTGAACATGCATTTCAAACACCTGGGGAGCATGGAGTTACCTGACCAATTGAATGGCATCTCATTTGTTCCCATTGATCCTCAAATCATCTCACCATCCAGGCTGATCCCTCCTTTTGAGGGATCACTTAAGCCCTGGAATAGGGACTACAGCAGGTTGGGCAGATCTGGTGCTTTGCTTGCCAGGCTAGCTAGCTTGGTCCAAGACCCTGGCATCCACAGGAAGTACTCACTCTTATGTCTTCCTAACATCCTTCTCTTTCTCCTGGACTAAGCTTCAGCTAAATGACCTAGCATCAGCAGTGCCCTTACACAGAAGTTCTAAGTCCTGGACACCCAGGACATCAGCTCTATCTTTAGTTTGGGAGGACACCTGCCCAACCTTTGCTGGCTCAATTTACCCTCTTCCTAAAACTGGTCTGCACAGGCTTAGTGTGGAGGCTGTGCTGGTTTCTGGGGATCAAATTATGCCCACCTATTACCATCAGGGGTATGATGCTGGACATGACTATGAACCCAGTCCCTCAGGGTAGGGTCACCAGTGGCAAGTGTAAACTAAACGATCATGGCAAATCTTTACAGCAGTTCCCACTGGAGTGGGGAGGGCAAGATGAGGCTGGTGTAGGATGGAGTCCTGAAGTTAGTTGCCAAGGACTGTTTGGATAGATCTCAAGTAGGGGCCAGAAAAATCCACAAAGAAATATCCCAAACTTTTATTGTTCACCCTAAGAAACTGAGGCACAAGGGCCGCCAAGGTCCCAAAATTCCCACAGTCCTAGTCAGAGTTGCTGCACACACACCTCTCCTACAAATAGCCCACAGCTTCCCACCTGGACAGGGCCGGTGAGGAGGTGGAGTAAGGGCACTGTAATCAAACTGAGGACCTCTCAGACCCTGGCCCCTCGGGGTCACTGTCCCTGTTCCGAAAGTGTTCTCTGCTACGCTTCTTGCTGCCATGAAAACCAACCACCTCCATCCCTGCAGGGTCTGATGAAGACCCAGGATGGTCAGCTTCTGAAGGTACCACTACTTCTGATAGTCCCTGGTGGCCACTCCACTCCTCAGCCTCAGGCCCTGCCAGATGGGCCAGCTCCACAGAGGCCTCACCCAAAGCACTTAAAACATCCCCCTTCTTTAGGACCCTCTTCCTTTCAGCCCTAGCTTCACTGCCTCGAACCGGTTTGGTAAAGATCACTCTCCCCTCCCCACAGCTAGAGGGGTCCTGGTTGAAGGAGGGTACATAGTCTGTGGAGGATGCCTGGCTGCGAGAGCCCAGGAAGGCCAGAGCAGCAGCACGATTGCTCTGCTCACTGGCTTCAGCCACATCTTCCAGACTGTATTTGGTCCAACGCTCAGGATGTGACACATAATCAGGGACAGGAGGTACCCTGGTTGGGCCCGTGCTCCCATGCACTCTGCTCAGATTCCCTGTTGGAGTCTGACTTGGGGGAGCCACAGGCCGCTTGAAGCTGCCATTGTCAGTCACACTGGTTTGGGGTACAGAGGATGGTGTCCACCGGGCTGCACTCTCCAGACAATCAAAGATGCTGTGACTGCGCTGGGAGAAGGTGGAGCTCATGCCGCGGAGGTGGAACGGCTGAACTGTGGTAGTGGGGATCCCCGTGGGTGGCGAGGGAGGCTCATCTGGGCCAGAGTCCTCTTGGGCTTCCCCGGAAACCCTCTCTGGGGACAACACTTGCACCTCCGCACCACTAGGTAAACTGAGGTCCGAGTCTGAGTCGCTGAGGGAGACGGTGTCAGAAGGCAGGATGTCATCTTCGGTGGGTTCCTCAGCCTCCAAAGCAGTCTCCGCCTTCTCCATGCCGATCTGGAACCCTCCCCACCTGTAGCGAAGCAGCCCAGGTTCTGAGGGGTGCACTTGGGCAGCGCCCCACCTCCCGTTCTCCCAGGCTCCCACCCGTTTCACCTCCACTATGTGCCAGGCGCCTCTGCTCACAACCGGGCGCTGGCTGGTCACGCAGGCGGGCAGAAGCCTCGCGAAGCCGGGTGGCGAATAAAGGGTGTCCTTTCGCGCACTGATGTGGAGCTGCAGGCTAGATAGGGTTAAGGAGAGAGTCAAACCATGAGATCATAATAGTACGGACATATAAAGGATGCGCGCCAGGAGACGCTGGAAACAGAAGCTCTGGACCAGCAGCTCGACCCATCATTGGCTCTCAGCAGAGCGCAGCTTCTCCGGGTACACACCACCACCGGAGGCACCACCCAGGTCCGGAGGGAGAGCTGGCAGGGGACTGGCTTGGTCGAACGGTCCTAAGGAGACCAGTGCTCACCGTTCTACTGTCGGTGCACGCTGTAATTGCCAGCCGCCTTTCCCGTAGCGTCCCGCTGGTTCCGCGGGATACGGGCCGTGGTCCCCACCCACTCTTGCTCGGCTTTCTGGGAAATCGAGTCTCCAGCTGTCTAAATGTTGCTAATTTAGCGCCCAAGGTACTACAATTCCCAGAAGGCAATGGGCCAATGCTTAATGCCTGCCGGGAGATGTAACCTTTACGTATGCGTCATCACGTAAGACCGGAGCGGACACGGAAATCTACCCGGAATTGACAAAAGAGGAAGAGGCGGAGCCAAGAGCCTCTATTCCCTTAATACGCAAGGCCAACGGCCAATCGCAAAGGACTGAAGCCTCCAGCGCCGCCCATCAGGCCTGAGCAGGGCTGGTCACCGGGAAGTGCGTCACTACGCACTACGGGCGTCAACCAGTTTCCTGGCCAAAAGTGTACTTTTGGTTTTCCGAAGCTAGGCGGGACTTAGGTCCTAGTTGGCTCTTGGCATCTAGAGATGTGGTGGGCTCTGGAGGGTTTGATAAGTTGTTTGAGGCAGCAGAGATTCGAGGCCTATCCGTGCTTGGACACCAACCCCACTATTTAAGGCCACACACAATTCCCCTCTAGTCTGAGAATCCACTGGACTGCTGCGTGCTCCCTCCTCCGTATGTTACTGAAGCTGTGCTGTTGTTTTCTCAACAGCCTTGGCCAGGGTCCCACGGGCTTCACAACGTAAGAGTAGAAAGTCCTTCAGACTAGCAGCCAACCCAAGCAGGGAACAGGCTGCAGGGGGGTGGAGGACAGTTGAGACTAGAACGCCCTAGGACTTGGGGTTCACCGACAAATCAGCCCTACTGGGAGGCTGCTATGAGCTGGGATCTGAATCTTAGCCAGGCTTTCTCCTCTAGAGACCAATTAAATATGCCAGCAGCCTGGGGGAGGGGTGCAGACAGGAGTCAAAGGAAAAGACAGCAGTGGTGATAGTTGCTGGTGTCCCAAGAGGTTGCTTGGCCTGACCCTCAGTTCACAAGGCGTTCAGTGGGGCTGCCATCTTGCCTATCACTCCTTGAGATACAGGCCAGAGCCACCAGCTCTGTAGAACATTTCTAAGCACCTAGATACTTGGGATGGGGCAGTGGTCTAACCTTTACTGTGTTGTCTTGCAAAAGTGGGGTGGCGTGGGAGGTGTGTGTAGGGGTGCTTTTTGTTGCTTATCCCCAGCACTCTGTGCTTAATTTTCCTGCTGTGTGGCCTCTCCTACCGGTCTCAGTGTGATTTGGCATGTCCAACAGATGAGTGGAAATGAGGTCAAGGCTGGAATAAAGGTCAGCCTTGGGCTCCCAGTACAGGGAGGTAGAAACGAGGGAGTACTCTCATATGGAGTGCTCCCAGGGTCCCTATCCTTCCCACCCACTGTGTTCCACAGCCTCTCTTGGACCTGTTCACCCTGTGCCTGGCGAAGTTCAGAGTTCAGTCCGGTCTCTGACACGACTGGCACAGGAAGATGTCTGACAGTCTGATTAGCATGCCTGATTTTCTCCTCCTTTATTAAATGACTGTTTCAAGATGTAATTACAGTTGAAGGTGACACGTTAGAAAGAACAGGTGCATTGAAGGCATAAGAGTGCTTACAAACCCAGCTCTTGAAATGGGGGCAGGAAAGGGACAAGGATTAAAAAGATGTGATCGATATGACCCACAGTGGGCAGAGTAGGTGGACATGGCTCTCTAGCTCAGCTACATAGCTAGATAGCCTCTGGGCAAGCAGTTGTGGAGGAGGTTTGGCTCAGCACGCAGAGCTCCCCAGGGGTTCCAGAAGCACAGGGCCCTGCAAGCCATGGCCAGCTCCACCCCTAAATCCTCACACTTGCCACCTATGTGTGATGTAAGCCCCCAAAAGATAATAGGAAAAGTTCAGAACAAAAACCCCTCAAAGTAAAAAGGCTAAGTGTAGCAGAGTAATACAGAAATATATACACAGGCCATGGCCCCCAAAGTGGCTTCTGGTCACTCAGGGGCAGGGCACTGCAGGGTCCCTGTAGTACAAAGTGCAGGGCCTCAGTACACGGAGCTGTTCCGGATGCCACAGCACAGCACCATGCTCAGAATCATCTCGAAGATCTGCAGGAGGGAGGGGCACTGTCAGCACCTAGGATCTTGGAAGGGGTGGCACCCACCCACCAAACAGAGGCCCTGTGCTCACCATGATGACAGCTACCACGATGGCCGCAATACCGATGAGGTACAGCTTCCCAGAAAAGAGTTCATCGATTTTCTGATGGCAGTCCTCCTGCAGGGATGGCCAGAGGGTGGCAGCAGTTACTGGCTAAGTCAAAGCCACTACCCTACTCAGTGGTGGGGGCTTATGCCCCACAGCTTATCTTCCATCCAAAAATAAACTTAAAACACATGGAGCTGCTGGCCTTCTTTATTACAGGGTAGTGTTTCTGACCTCACTAATACCCCAGGGCTACCAGTATATGTAAGGGACCACTCGAGAGCAGTTTCTTAGGATACTACAGAGGCTAATACAGGCTGCCAGGAGCCAGCACCCCACTACCTGAGATATTCTATGAGCCTTTCTGAGGTCCTGCTTGAAGTTCTGATCTTCTTAGTGGGCCACATTCACCCTATCTACCACCCAGGATATGATGCCACCCCCATTCCATGTCACCTTCATCAAGGAGTTGAATATGTTGGTGCCTGAGGGACACAGGCTATTCTTTAGCACAGAGGTGGTCAGTGTTGTCAGTGCATTGGAGCCACAGCAGTTGAGCTACAGAGACCAAGAGCATCACTGTCAGCTTAGGAGCCTCAGGAGACAAGGGCAAGGTCAGGCACACAGCACACCATCACTCCCCCCCCCCCAAATATACCTGTTCCTCCAAACCCCTGGGCAAATGAGGCCCATTACATTCCTAAATCAGAGAGACCCTTAGCCAGGCCCTGTCCTGTCTGTTGTTGATGTCTAGGAATAGACAGGACCCATTCCCCAAAGATCACACACACTAGGACTCCCACAACCTGCCCTCCCTGCTCCAGCCTAGCTGTACCGTCTCATGGAAGGTCTTCACCACAGCCTTGGCATTGTTGGCATCGTCATCCACCACAGCTTGTTGAAGGGCCTGGTCATAGAACTGCTTCACATCCTTGGCGATCTGGGGGAGAATCGCAGTCACTTGCAGCATAGGGACTACCATCAAGAGCACTCAGCTTCCCCTGATGTGTTCAACCTGATGCCATCTCTTTTACTGAGCTCCCAAGACCCTTCTACCAGCAAATACCAGAAATCCAAAAAGCACCCTACAACCCATATGTTCAGAGAAGTCCACACCTGTTGCCCAGGCAAAGAGCCTCTCTCCCTCCCCAGTGAACCTAGGCTCACCTGGTCTTTGTTTACGAAGCCCCAGATACCAGCAGCCACCTCACAGGCAAACAGAATCACAAGGCAGGTGAAGAACTAGGGGAGAGAAGAAGGCAGAGCCTTGACCAGCAAGCCCAAGACTGACCCTCTATAGGTGCCCACATGACCAACAACTATGTGCCAAAGGGTTGCCATATCCACCAACCATGTCCTGATTAAGAATGAGCCATACAGAACCATGAAAGATGGAGTCTGATGCAGCTCCACACCAAGATGACCAAGTTCTTACAGCCTTATCCTGCTCCCTGCTTGTGCAGGAGAGGCAGTTGACAAATCCAAGTGTCCACAGCCTTCAAGGAGGCACATGCAGCAATATGCCCCTGCCCCAACCTTGACCTTAGTTTCCTCATCCCCTTTATCCTACATCCATGGGAAGTTTAAAATGTGAAATGTGCTTCAGTTTCCTAGACTGGTTGGCCAGGCTCTAGAGGACATAACTGAGATTCAGCTCTACCAGTAGTTTCTGTGGCCAGGAGCACTAAGGCTGGCTTTAGGGGAAAGTCGCCCCTCTGGAGTTTATGCGTTTCTAAAGAGAAACTCCCTCTGTCAATATGAGTCTTCATAGTCAGACTTAATGGATTCAAGCAAACAGAAAAAGCAAAACCTTGGGAAAGATAGATGTTGCCAGAAACCCTATTCCCCTGCCCTGTAACCCTTCCTACTTACCGTCCCCAGCAGGCACTGGGACTCTTGGATGGCTCCATAGCACCCCAGGAAACCCACAAACATCATCACAGCTCCCACAGCAATGAGAATGTAGATGCCTGGGGAGGGGAAGAACTCAATGAGCCAGCTGCATGCATCACTGCCTGAGGCAGGAGTGTCTGGGGCACTCACGCCCACAATAGGCAGAGTTTGGCAATATGAACTTTGTACATCAGTGTCCCGCTGGAGGAGCTGCCACTGCCACCAGAGGACAAAACAGCAATTCAGTGCCCAGAGACACTTCACAGACATGCTCTGTCCTGTAGCCAGTCCTCCACTACCTGCCCCTGAGGATAGGAACCCTCAGCACTCACTGTAGAGGGCTAAGATGAACTACTCATCTCAGTGCATGAAGTGGGAAAGCAGGTTGGGTATCAACTATTGGCCTGGGGGTGGATGCCCAGGACACTCCCAGTGTGAAGGCAAGGGCAGGCTATGCCAGTAGCCAACTCTAGACACCTATTCTCAGGCACACTGGTGTATAACTGCTCACCTAACTCTAAGGGGAGGAACCTGTGGGTGGGGTGGCTGGACGGCACACAGAAGGATAGGGGCAGCCTAAGCAGAGCACCAACACCTGCCACACATTGTCTGGGCTGTGTGTAAACGGGGGAGCCGTGAATAAACAGGGGAGCACTGTGACCCATGAAGGCACCAGCTGGGCCATATCCCTGTTTCAGTGCCCACAGTACCCCTCAGGCCCTGGGAAAGACCACTGTGTCTCTGAAGAGCCCTCCAGCTCTTGGTCCCTCAGGAGATGCAGCCCATCCCCCAGTCTCCACAGCAACACTGCCGGGCAGTCCAAGCTTCCTTGCACAAAGCCAGGCCCATTGTCCCCTGCTTGGCCAGCCCAGGGACAAAGGCGCCATGGCCAGGATTAGAAACAGGCCAGATCGTGGGCCTGGCTTCCTTTGACCTCACTAAACACATCTGGTCCAAGGAAAGCCTCCCACCAGCGCTGCCTAGAAAACTGGCTTTCCCTTTTCCTCCAGACAGGTAGAGCAACTT